AGTGCACTTCTTGGAGGAGAAAGCAGCTTGAGGACAATATTAACATGCAGGAGCAAGGCTGCACTAATTGGAGAAATCAGTGCTTCAGCTGCTGCTGGTTTGGAGAATTGGAATGAATTAAAACACATGAAGCTGACACTAAATAGTTATTGAGAAAAAGCATCAAAGTCAGGGAAAGCACAACTGTTTGCAAGATAAGGTGTTTTACTGATATGCAGTGTGTATAATTGTATAGCTGCTTGTTTCAGTGACTGCTCAGAGAGCCCCATGCCTTCCTACAGGGTGTCTGTGGGATGTAGAAGAGCCATCCTGCTGCCAGTCTCCAGCAGATGCCCAGGGTCACCCACCTGGTCAGACAGACACCTGGCAGGGAGCTCAGCCTCATCCCCTCCCCATGGCTCATGCAGCCTCCTCATGCCTCCAGTGCACCAATTGTCCCCTCAGTTTCCATGTGGAAATCTCTTCAACATGAACACAAATGACATATTTACTGTTTTTCCCTATGTCAGGGCAGTACCTCTCTAGCCAGCACCGCAGCCTCACAGGGACCTGTCAGCAGAAACACAGACACAGCCTCCAGCTTAAAGAAGCACCAGCAAATCTATTTGAATGCTGAAAGGCATTGGCAAAAGAGAAATACAAGATTATGTGGGGCATTATTCCATTCCACAGGGCTCTACAAGCCATATCAGACAGTATCTTCAACTGAAATACATATAATTTCCTTTATTAATCAGACAAACCAAAACAGACACACAGACTGGTGCTTTCTCTATTTCAAGCAGACTCAATGTAAGCACTTTCTAGAAAATACCAATAAAATGAAAATATCCTCAGGGAAGCATATACCATTTAATTACACAGCTTGTTCACATGGTTCATCATATGGGATTTTGTATCTCAGGTGCTGATGGGAGCAAAAACTGTACCTAACATTTCACAAAGAAACAACTGTTTGAAAAATTTCTGAACTCTGATTTTATCAGTGGGCTACGTTTGGGAGAGTTAGTGAGGTAAAGGCAGAACTAGATCTGAGTATGTTGAAAGGTGCTGCATGAAAATATTCAGAGGATGAATGAATTGGGGAAGGGAGAGGTGTTGGTCTCAGGCGTTCTTGCTTCCAGTCTTTCATTTACACAGTGGGAGAGTCTTCCAGATAGGGATTATTATAATGTCTGATTGCCTAATTGAAACAAGGTGCTGCAGCTAACTTAAGGAGCAGCTTAATTTCAAACCCTTTTATCATCCCCAAATGTGAATCCACATTTAAACATGGAGGAAAAATTCATGGTATACACAGGAACAAACAAAGCTATTGTCTGACATAAGGAGCTTATGTAAATGTGTGATGGCAGAGCTCTTCTTACAGTAAACCTTTTAAATATGTCCATAAATCATGAAGAACAACAATAACAGAAAAAAAAGATATATTCTTTTAAAGAAGTTTGCAATGGGATTTTACCTGTCTAGGGGTGATAGAGACAACACTGCTAAGGTAAACAAAAGCTAGCATCTTCCTAAGCAGTAAATTGCAAATAAATATAAATTTCTGCTACAAGGCTTTGTGTGAGAAGGTTTCCATTATGAACTCATTGAAAATTTGCTAATTTTAAAACAAAGGCATTTGTTTTCAGTCCCTCTTTACAAGCCCATCAATTTATTTTTCTTTTTAAAGACAGAGCATATTAAATAAATTAATTAAATCAAAAGGTGCCTGTACTAGAGTGGCTTGAAAAGACCATGGATGTGATCCAGTGGACAAACTGGCGGATCAAAGCTCCTGGACATTGTTGTTCTACTCAGTTCAGTCACGTTCCTCCCATCTGAGCTCAGCAGACTACTTCGCCTCCTTTTCTCTCTCTTGCTATTCTTGCCTTTTCATTCTCCGTTTAGACTGGAAGTACTTAGGAGAAGAAACTATCTCCTCCTACACATCTACAGAGTACTCCAGTGAACAGCGACCCAATCTCAGTTGTTCTTGGAAGACCAACAATTATAATTACATGAAGGCAGGATGCATGTGGATGCGACATTACTTTGTTCAGGCTAATCAGCTCAATTCCATCAGTGAAATCTCTCTCAATTATAGAAGAATCCATGTGTGCAACCCAGACAGCAGAAATCAATTCTAATTACTCCCCACTGCCTGCACGATTCCCTGTGCAAACAGAGAAGGGACACAAGGTGTTCCCAGCACTGCACTGCTCATGTGGGTGGCAGTCACCTCAACCTCCTTCACGTGGGAATCTGTACTGTCCCATCAGAAAACAAAGAAATCCATATGTTTTCTGCTGGGTGACGACTTCATAAAACCATTTCCTTGTCCTAACAAGAAACTAAATATTCCATTCTTGGTAAATTGCCTTTATTCTGTCATAGACTCACAAAGCTGTCTTAAACCAAAATTTTGCTATGGATATGCATCACGTTTACCTAACACCACTGGCCAAGTCAGTGCAGGAGAGGGCTGGGTCACTTCTGGTTAGAGGAGACAGGCAGAGAAGCACGCGCCAAAATTAGCCCACAACTGACAGGACCAGCGTCCCTATCTGTTGGCTCCTTCTGCAGCCACCTTCAGACTGCCCTGAGAAGTGCTGGATGCTTTGATCCCAGCATCTTCAGGAAAATCATCAGAGACTGAACATGTATAGACAAATTTACAGCTGCTCTACCTCTTGAGCATCCCTGACAATCAGCCTTCATGTCTATGTATACTATTACAAAATGAGGGAGTGACTGGGTTGCAGTTTCATTTAATCTTTATCTTTACATTAGACTCCTGCACATGCTCCTTCATGCACATGAATAAGTCTATTTGAGTTACAAAAGATATTGTGCACTGTCTACCTGAAACAACTCTAATGGGAGCCTGTGCTCATGACTGCAGTGTCATTTCATTCAGGTTGCTCACCTCAGCACATAAACCTGCTTTGATTTTTATCCACCAAGATCCTTGTGCCTGTATTTTGAAATGCCTGCTACAAAAGCACACAGCAGCCACACAGGAATAGGGAAGCTGCTCTCTCAGAAAATAATTTTTCTCTACAGTGTTTACAGAAAGCAGAAATGAATGAAATTATTTGGCACAGTTGAAAAGTCAGGAAAAGGCAGTGTAGTGAACCAAATCAGAGCAATGTGTGAAACCCTCCTGTAGCACAGCATCCTCCATTCATTTGATGACAAGACAGAATGCTGGAAATGCACCTCCAGAGGTTATACCTGCACATCAGAGAATACAGAAAGAAATCTGAAACAAAATTGGAGGAGACAATCAGTGAGATTTTATTTTAAACTTACGGCTGGAAGATCAAAAGGTCAACTTCAAGTTTCCTGCGCTTCTTTTACTAACACCGCACTGAATTAAGCTGCTCTTCTCCGGGGCTAGATGGGGAAAATTTATACATTCTTTGTTATAATTTGACCTTGCAGTGATCTGCAACAATAGGGATTATGGTGTTGTCAGAAGATTATACTGCACCTGTTTGCATGACATTTGTCCCTTGCAGAGAAAGTGTAAATACTGGTGACATCTACCCAGGGCAACGCTTTTTTGTTCCTTTAGAAACAGTTTGGAAGCAAGGAAAGAGAAGTAGGAAAGTAGGAAAAAGGTAATGAAAAACATAAAAATAAAAGCAGCAATTGGAAAGCAGTCTTTCTCCACCTTTCACCTCTCCAACAAAGCAAAATGAAAAAGATACACAGAAAAAAAAAAAAAAAAAAAAAAAAAACCTACAAGTCAGTAAAGAAAAAAAAAAAATGTTGAAAATGTCCAGAGAGAGATGCAGGAACACCCAAGTCATACTGAAAACTGTATCTCTCTCTAAAATACTGGTCGTGCCTGGATTAGATATGTCTAACATAAAGGACTTATAAGTTTGAGCTAACTGACGATCTCTGTGGGGAAAAAGAGGGAGATGAAAATAGCTGTTGTAGATGTTCTGACTCAAGTTAGACATTTCTTAGCAGGAGAAAAATATAATAGCTTTGGAAAGAAAATTAAATGAAGTTATAATGCATCCTTTACAGAAAGTGTGAAAGACTGGTATCAAAACAACTGCAAAGAAAGGTTGATGCAAGCATGAAACCCCAGTTTCCAAGTAGTAAAATGCGCTCCTTCTGTTCCATATTAGCATGCCATTAATGACAAATAGGATAAAAGGGCCTAATGAAGTTATCACTTTTTACTATTTTTCATTACCTGTAATTTCATACAGACAAGTTCTTCCTGGCTCAGGGCCTTGTAATATTCCTTTGCCACAGCCCTTGGCTGTTGATGGGAAATGGGAAACAATCTTGGTCTGTCTCTGTATCACTGAGATATACTGCCTTGGCAAGGACCACATCTGTAACTCCCAGGAAAGGAGTTTTCCTATGAAAAAATCATGGTTGTATTTATTGAACTGCATGGTCTACCACAAACAAATCTCTAGCTTAAAGAAATATAGAGATGGAAACCTCTCTTTTAAATAATCTTGAATGCTTCAATCCCATTTTACTTTAGTAACGATATGAAAAGAAATAAATCAGAGTTTTGTAGCTACATGACACTAAAATTTCATTGATTTCAACTAGAGTATAAAAGCAGGCTTACACTAGGAATGGACAATACTACGAGCCTTGCATTGTTTATAGCACTTTACTGCTCCAACACTTTTGACAATTCACGTGCAAATGATTTTCTAAACCACTTACACTAGATTCTGATCTTTTGATTATGGGGTAGGGTAGTGCATTTAATTCTCATCTCTCACTAATGTGTTTTTTTTTTGTTTGTTTGTTTTTTTCCAGTTATTATTTTATTTTAGGACCCATGACTATTCTTTTTCAGATATGTTCTGTATGTACATACAATAAATTTCCAAAAGATTTTTCGGAGAAGCATAGTGATATGGGTTTAACATATTAAAAATTAAAGAAAAAAAAGAAAAAAGAAAAAAGTTCCACTTTTAGACAGTTAGACAAGTTGAGGTATGACACCTGAAAGGAGATATTAAGATAAAGCAATGGATCTTGAAATCTGGACATCTCTTAAACTGCTATAGTACTTCTGACATCAGTCTCTTTCCTGTGGCTTTTAAAAAACAAATCAGTGTCCCAAATTCTGTTTTCTGTAAATACAGTTGGAGATTTAACACAAAAATATAAATTATTATTTTTTTTAATACTCATCATTTTTTCATCTTCATTCATTCTGATACACACATTTAAACAGTTTCCACTATTTCAGTTTTCTTGGTCAAGCAGAAATATTTATTATACTTGTTAAAGTTTATATTACCCTGTAGCAAAGCAATTTATTGTTACTATACATGGGTGACTTTCCTGATTATTAAAATACCATTAAAGTGAAAACTGTTCAACTCACACCACACTTCTTTCTAATTTTTTCCTGTTGTTGGACCTCGAGTGGAATATAACTACAAAATAATACATCTGGTTTTTAAATTGAGACATAAGAGTTTAACTGAAGTTGGACTACTTGAGCATCTGCTGCACTGTAGCAGGCTCAAGGGACTGAAACTATTCCCCAGGATTAAATCTTGACTATCAGCTTGTATCACAGACATAACAGGGAAGGTGAACATCACCCATCTTGAGCTGGATACAGCAAAAGGAAAAGATAAGAAGGCATCTTTCTCAGCTATCATCACTTCACTTGATATGACAGGTAATCACAGCCTGAAAATATTACTTCTAAATTCTTTTCAAATCAGAATGGAATCAGATTTGGGAAATGAGTGAACTTCTCCTTGTAGCCCAGAAGACCAGAGATGTTCTGTCCCAGTGGAACTGGCTGGTATTTCAGGCTGTGCAGTCCTGTGCTACAGAAAACCTTGCATAGAGAGTGTGCTCATTTGTTATGTGATTAGTACAACCTGCAGCTCTTACCATTAAGAGCTGGTTCCAGATACGTAATGGTTCAAAAAGCCCTGACCCCTCTTCAAGAGGACCGTAGGAGTTTAGGCTGACATTCAGTTGCTCTGTCAGGATGGGTGGCCCACCAGAAAACACTCTCCAGGGGCAGGAGAAGTTGGGGCTGCCCTGCTTCTGCAGCTCTGCTGTGAGCACCCTACAGCCACGGATGGTGTACAGGTGAAGAGCGATGTGCTGTACCTGATGTGCCTGGAGTTTTTTTCCACTGAATTTAGATGACAGCTTTGGAGAAAGTACAGTCATTTTTAACATTCCCATGGAATTTCACGTTACAAATGTACAAGGAGGAGAAGTAGGTAAATAATCTTTTTTTTTTTCTTTTTCAAATCAAATAAAAGCATATTGTTGGGCTCATATATTCTTTTTGAGTGTAACAGGAATGACAAGAAGTTTTGTTGTTTAGAATACCTCCTTTATGTATCTTTTTACAGAGACGATGACTTGACTCTAGCTAGAGTTTTACACACCCAATTTCCAACCAGCAGTGATTATTTATAGCTGAATTGTCGACTTCTGCATGCAGGGAACCACGATGGAAATGCTGACAGCCTACAGCCCATAAAAGCTTCAACGGGTTCTGCGATGAGTTTTGTATTTCTTTTTTCAGCATAACGCTTCCTGAGCTCTTTGTGAGAATCCTGTAAAATTAACACACAACAAAATTCAAATGCTTGTAAGCAGATAAGCGCGCTGAGCTTATTATGTCTGTGCCTTTCATTCACTTGCAGTTACATTTTCTCTATCATTTGCTGTCTTTGTATTGATAACTCACATCATTTTAGAGCTGTCATGAAATGAGATTTTCAATCTGAATTCACTGCATTTTAGGTAATATTTCCACATCTTTTTTTCTGAAATTGAAACTCAGGTCAAGTTGTAGACTGCTCTTTGCTGGCAATAAACAATTATACCAGTCCAAGTACACATTTTACTTCTTAATGAGCTGATTTTTTTCCTATTTCTTCCTCCCCATTATTTTAAAATGCAGAGGATGGTAATTTAGTTTGCTACACACAAAATCCCCTCCAGTAAAAAACACATTCTTCTGAAGCTGTAGTGACCAATAACAAATAAAGTTCAGTTCTTTGGGTGATGTCAAAACAATGCCTGATAGTAACAAAGCCAGCTGCTTTGATTTATATTGCCTTCCTCCAGCAATACAAGCCAGCATTCTGCTTGCCCTTTTCACTGCAGTTGCACATTAAGCTGAATGCTTTAGAGATTTTCTACAACAACTCCCAGATCTCTTTCCTAATCAGTATTCGACACATCTTTCCTTTTAGCAGATGCGCTATTTTTTCCCTTTGTTCCAAGATTCATTGTTCTCCATTAACTGCAGTTGCCATTTATTAGTCCAGATGCAGAAATGATCCAACGACCCCTTATGAGTCGATGTGTTTTCACCCACCCACACGTCTGTGCGCCAGCACGCAATAGGCCCTTGGATCATCACATATTTAAATATATGCACTGAAACTATAGACTGTTTACGTGAGATTTATGATGTTTCTGAAATGTACATAGGATAATGAAATGGGATTTTGAACTGTTAAAAGTAAACCTGCTTCAAAGCTAAAAATGCACTCATCTGGGCTTTGAGAGTAATAAAACAATACATAGAAGCAGATCCTCAGCTGGTGAAAAAGCTTGTTAGAATTAATGCTGTGTTGATTTACACCAGGTAAGAGTGTGATCAATTAAATCTGTGCTGTGAACTATATAATTTTTAATGAAATATTTAAATCTAATAATTCTTGGCCACACTACTTGTTTGGGGGAGAAAAAAAATGAAGAATAGAAACACTAAGGGAAACCATTCTTTAAATTCAAATTGGTAGGAAATGGAGTGTGTAATACTTAAATATTCAAACTATTGATAATATAAACAGGTGGCAACCATATAATATAAAGTACATTAACTTGGAATTCTGTAGACACTTGGAAGATAGGAAAATAGGATTTCACATCGTATTAGTTCACCGGTCCATGAAGTCTTATATCCTTCTTTCAACATTGGCTAGTAGATAATTCTTCAGTGGGAGGTAATCCCGCCCCTCATGATGCATTCAGAAATATGAAATGCTGTAAGACAGAAGTGGCAGAAAAATAAAGGACAAGACAGTAGCGAGAAAATTGGAAAAAGCCAACCATACGAGGTCATAGCTTTAATAAAGAGGAAAGAATCATTGTCTTAAAAACAGGCTCACTTGGGCATAGGACAGCTATAAGTATGCAGTGCTTTCTACCCCCAGGTTACTAACTCAGCTCATCCCCCCATCAACAACACTGCCTATAATTTATGATCGCAGTGGCCTTTGTGAATAAAGATGTTTCCACTTCATAAAATCAACAGAATTATCAGCACCCTCTCTTCCCCATCACCTATCAGGGGCAGCAGGGATAGAAACCCGGTGAACCTCCCTTTGCGACAGTCCCTCCAAGAGAGCACTGAAACGTAGTCAAGAGATGGCTGGGAAGCCAATATCAAACCGGCTGAAATACTGGCTTAGCTACCACATAAATAAAACTGGATTTATATTCAGTTAAATGTTGTGTCATGTTCTGACAGATAATACTTGCAGTTGCCAGGGGTTGTGAATAAATAAAAAAAAAATGAATCTGCAGTCATTTTCACACCAGAAACTGCTGTTTAAACAAAACTAAAAAAAAAAAAAATACTTTCTGTCCCTAACATTAACATGTTTGTAATATCTACACTTTTCTGTCCTGAGCAGGACAGAGCTTTCTCAGAGGACCCAGAGCCCCTTTGCAAGCCTCTTTCCAGGCCACGTTGGGTTGCTGCAAGAAAAGCAGCTCCTGCTTCGGCAGCCTAAGTGCCCTCCTCAGAGGACCAACTGTGGGGGTCAGCAAGCCACAGAGAGGCAATGTGGAGACCCAAACACCACAAGGAATTGGCAGAAGCCTCCACAAAACCCTTCAATCCTTTTCCATCAGAGCCAGAAGAAGGGAAAGGAAGGAGGCTGAGCTGGGGCTGCTGACGCTGACAGGAGACTACCTGCTTTATAATGAACATTGAACCAGGCCCTCAAAGAGGTTTATGCAGCATTTTTCTCCCTGACTGTTCTCTTGGAATTAATTATATCTCAACTCTTTTGCAATTGCTAGAAGGTAAGAGACATAGCACTGACAATTGTGCTAAGTTTAAAACACATAAGGGCGTGGGGCTGTAAGCATGTGTCTCTAGAGACAAACAAACGATGCTGGAGGGTAGCAGAGAGCATGGCAAGTGGTACTGATGGTGGGAGAAGGCCCTATATCACACATGAAAGGAGTCACCACTGCACTTTCTGCACTTTCAAAAGGTCTGCAGCAACCTGCTTGCTATATCTATTGCAGCCCAGGAAAGACTAAAGTATTTATCCATATTTTTTCTGTTACAAAGACTCAAAGTTGCCTTTTACTGCCATGGGACCATATGTGAATAGAACACATTGCAGCACTGATCTCATTAATCTCCAGAGAGCTGCTATAAGGCACATGATGAGAAACATTCAGATAATGCCAATTATTCTCATGAGCCTGGGACCATATGAACCTGAAAAGAGAGGTTATGGTTGGGGATGTGTTAGATTATCCTGAGCAACTGAATATAAACAGCTTACTACACTCCTGTCTTCATCACTATTTGATATGAGCTGGCATTGAGCAGCAGCTTTGGTGGAACACAGCCCTACACACAGTTTTGGTTTTCTCTCCCCTTCCAGAGGGGACAGAACACGTGCAAGTCAGGGGAAGCATCTCAATAATGAAGAGAAAATTTTATCTTTGTATGTAAATTAACATGAAACAATTTTCCAGCTAGATCTAGGGACAGATCCTTGTTAAACAGCACAGCCAGTTCTTTCTTTTGTTCCCAAATGATTATTTTACAACACACAAAAATAAAATGACAATTTACAGTGCAGTGGCTACAGAACTGTAAAGCATTCTAAAAGCTAAAATTGGGCAGAAGCTAATGATGCAGCAGATTTACTAAGCCAGATCTAGGCATATGATACAAAAATATACTGTCCAATAGTTTGTTGTTGTTTTCTCTTAATATATTTTGGATACAACAGCACACACAGCAGCATCATTTAATATATTAAATGATCCATCTTGTCATGTTATGGCTTCATCTGATATGATCCATTGCTTTACAGCACACTACTATGAATATAAAAAAAAAAAAAAAAAAAAAAGCTTGTAATAAATTACCACAGCATCTGTTTACTTTGCAGTATCTATTTACTTTCACATTTAGCCCATGCCAGCATGAGTCTGACTACAAAAAAAACATGTCCTTTTTTGAATCTTTGTGAGCACTTTATCAGCATGGACCACAAGATGTTGTGTTCTCTCCCCTAGACAAGAAATATTCCATATGCGACCAGTAGACCTGACATCTTGCTAATAGACATTAGCATTGGAAAAATCTTGGTCCATCTTTGAAGGTGACGAGTGTGTCAAATCCCACAGCTACCAGGAAGGGAACAAAATCATTGGGAGAGGCAGTCCTAGTTCCTTTCATGGAAAGATTCTTTCATGATATTTACTCCACTCTTGAAGTATCTACTTGAAAAAGAGCTTAAGCCTAAATCCCACATGTGGCCCTTGTGCTGTTCCTATAGCAGAGAGCAGCTGGATATCCCAAGAAGAGTGTTACTTCTTCACACAACCTAAAACTGTGTAGCAAAGGGATTGACCCTGGCATTCACAGCTGGGAATGTATAATTTAAAGGAAATCTGGAGATACTCTAAAAACTACAGATCCCACAAAAGTGCTATAATAGGGCAGACAACAGAAACCTCCTAATTTATGTATCAACAGGCTGTTCTCCAATTCAGGTGTGGATATAAACATAGTTCCAGACCAAGACTAAAATCTCTTCCATTTCTCATACCAGAATTCTTAAACAGTTTTTCCTCCTCCCATTGTAAATGACATCTTTTGATATGTTATCACATTTTCTCATACAAATTCCATTGAAACAGTAGGACAGCATAACAAAACACCAATCTATTCGTGCTACATTCAGCAACTAAAATTAAAGAGTTTTTTCTCCTACTTGATCATAATTGTAATATTTCAGATTCTTTCTACAAAGAGCAGAATTTAATGGCTGTTATGGATTTTTCACCCCCTTAGAGAATTTCTGCAAAATTCAATTATTTTTGGAGACTGCTTGAGTTTATATCTCACAGTGATGATGAATTACCTATTGTACTGGCTGACTTAAAAACAATACACAAAAATCAATTTTTTGACAAAAGGAAAGACACAGAGAATTCAGGACTGGCACACGCTGTCTTTGTCCTGATTTTAAAATGAGCTAATTTCAATCTCTTTGCCATTTAAAACCACTTTCTGTAACAGCATCTGATTACATTTCAGCTGTTTAGGTTTCCTATAGAGATTGACTTTGCCAACAAGACGATTTGCCATCAAGAAATTGTAATTAACTTAATGAACTCTGTCTTTTAAACAGTTGGAGATTTTAGAGCTAAGAGTAATGATTATCACAAGTATCAAAGAGTTTTGTTTTAAACATACATATTCAGTGCCAGATATAAGCAATTTGCATGCTAACATTTTCATGCTCAGATCTGACAGTGGTATTTAGGATTGTTGACTGTC